TCGAGAACTGTGTCCAGTTTTGGGCCTCTCATTTCAAGAAAGACATTGAGGTGCTGGAGAATGTCCAGAGAAGAGCAGTGGAGCTGGTGAGGGGTCTGAAGGGTAAGTCCTACAAGGAGTGGCTGAGTCAGCTGGGGTTGTTCAGTCTGGAGAAACGGAGGCTCAGGAGAGGCTTTGTCACTCTCTACAACTACCTGAAAGGAGATTGTAGCCAGCTGGGGGTTGACCTCTTCTCCCAGGCAACTATTGACAGGATGAGAGGAAATGGCCTCAAGCTGCACCCAAGGGAGGTTCAGGTTGAACATCAGGAAGAATTTCTTCACCGAAAGGGTTGTCAAGCATTAAAACAGGCTGCACAGGGAAATGGTGGAATCATCATCTCCGGAAGTGTTCAAGAAACAACTGGATGTGGCATGTGGTGCTGTGGTTTAGTTGACATGGTGATGTTCAGTCAAAAGTTGGACTAGATGAATTTGGAGGTCTTTTCCAGCCTATGATTCTGTGATAATTGGGTGGTTTCACCAACAGGACCATATACATGCCTGTGGGTATGGAAAGCCTCAGAGATGGTTCTTGCTTCCAGCATGTGTTGCCTAGTGTCAGTGTGCAGCGAAGGCATGAGGCAGCTGGAGAGGAGAGGAGCCCTGCCCATTGGATGCAATCTTCAGCCAAAGCTCAGGGGAGGGATGGTTACGGGGATGCAACTGCAAATCATTTGATGTTAAGGCTTGCAGAAAATAATCTGCCAAGTAGTCCCAGCTGGTTGATGTTATTGGCTTGTTTTCCCTATTTATTGTTGTGTCTCCTCACTGGTACTCACTGTCTCTACTACTGGTATGGTGCATTCAGCACATTGTTCAAAGAGGCTAGTTTTCATTGTAAGAGTGATTGTACCTCCATCCACCCATGTTCCAAGAGTCAGTTTCTTTCAGCATGGCTCTTGTGGGCTACCATCTGCAAGGTACAAAGATAGTTTCTAATCTGATTGCTGATGGTTCAAGGGATCAGTTCAAGCCATTGCTGTCCCAAGATGCTCTTGCTGCCATCCTTCGTTGCAGCCATCTCTCTCTGGCTCATTTTGAAGTGTGCAAGCAAGAGGTTGCACAGATGTTAATGCTCTGTGCCCACAACATTTTGTGATTGCTGTTAAAAATAAAACCAGTGAAATTAATTTGCTAATAATGGATGTGCTACTAACAGAAACACATCCCACTTGTACCTAACACTAGCAAGCTGTTTATGGCATATTTGCTGTGTCTAAAATAATAATTTTTTTCTAGCAACCAATTTAATTTAAAGACTATTTTCACACATCGGTGGCTGTTAATCAGCTAAGGGGTTACCAGTTTTAATACTAAGAAGAAAGAAGCAGATCTCATCAAGCTTAAAACTTGATTTCATTTCTTTTCAACTGGTTTGCTGCAGATTATGGGGAGTCTTAAGGTCATCTTATTTCTCTTGCTTTCTATCCCCTTTAAAAGAGAGATAGTACCATTATATGCACCATTATATGTACTGTGCTAGTTCTATGTATCCTTTCAAGAGCTGTTGAATTGGAAATACCAAGATAAAAATATAAGAAGACTAAAATAAGATTTAATTAGGAATTAAACCCCAGACACCCATGTAATTTTAAATAAAGTCATGTATACTTCATGAAGAGATTATAAGGTTGACTGTCAGAAGACGAATGGTAAGATAAAGACCAAAACCCAAGGTACCTGCAAGGTAGGTTGTTTGTGGCCCTGTTCTGCTCTGAAGCTGATTTCCAAAATGTCTGAGACATTGCTACAGTGGCAGAAAATTGACATGGTACCAGCTTCAAGCACAAGACTGTGCTTGTGATCCACCTACTGTCATACCTGGTCTACAGTGTGGAGGCATAAGATGTCCCTAGGTCATCTTTCATTTAAACAGCATCCATTTCATCACAGCATCCCTGTCTATTAGGCAGTTGCTGCTTGAACCATCTTACAGGCTGTCCTCTCTGTGCCATATACAATGGAAATGTTAAAGAGAAAAATGTTATAATAGATATGACTTAAACCTGAAACACCCATGCAGCTACGGCTCCTGAGCATGGTAATGCAAGTGTGGTTTCCATCAGGAGTTGTCCCCAAGCTGCTCGTCATGAGAGCCTGGAAGACTGTGCTGGGAGAATCCGGTAAATCTCCCTCTGTCCTCCCCAAAGCATCTGCTGCAGGTGTTTGGACTCGGCACAACACTATTCAATGTGGCACTTCTTGCATTTATTTTTATTTTCTATACTCCCTCTTTGCATATCCCATCCTCTGTCCCCGAATTCTTCCTTTCTAAGAACTGACACAAGAGTATTTCACTTATATCTGGTAATACTCTGCTCTGCTGGGCGTTTGTTTTGAGGACTCATGTTGAAATCTTCAGTCACATAATGCTCTTGACTGTTCCTCCTTATAGTTTTTTAATAGAGAAGGGACTTGCCTGACCCATGGGAGCCTGCAGACTATAAAAAAATTGGTCCAGTTCAGTTTTATTTCACATCCCTCATTAAAACATTGGTTATCAGCGTTGTGCATCTCTTGGCTCCATACTTATTCATGAAAACCAAACATTCTCTTTGAGCCGATCTACATATCATACCGTCATTAACAAGCTGTACCTCGTTGAAAATCTGTCAAGGAAAACTGACTTATTTTGCATTTGCTGCTTTGCACAAAATAGAAGCATGGTAAACTTTTGTGCTGTAACGATTTTCTGTCTGTCTTGGTGGGACATAATGAGATAAATTCAAGTTCTTCTTTGCAGGCTAATTACATTGAACACACACTAGATGTAGGCTGCCCTCGTTATATGTTGCACATTTTTGTGCTTTCATTTGCCCATCTCTGTTATCTGTGTGTGCAAGTGAGTTTGATTTGGATTTGAAATACCATTGTAAGCTAGAGAGGAACCATTTGGTGGTCTACTCTCCCAGAAGACTCTCAAGAGACTGCATAGCAAGTCCTTGCTGTAGGTAGGGCAGCATTTGAAAGTGGCTGTGAAGTAAATAAAAGAACTTAACTAGGTGCTGGAAACTGAGAAATGTACTGTAAAGCATGAGGGCAGCTTGTGGCAAGTCTGCTAAAAACTATCAAGAATAAATTCAGCCCTAGGTCTGGTCACTAGTCCTAGTGTATGGACACAAAGCAGAAGACTGCATCCTGCAGAGCCTAGGTGTGGAGCACTAGTTGGGTGATGAGCAATTTTGGAAAATGGATTTTTAAAACCTGTAAATCCCTCCAGTACAACTAGTTATTCTGTGCCTGTCTTGTGAGAAGAAAAGAGAGGTGGGAGATAGTGTGGGAGGGTGCCCAGTTTGGGGAGGTCAGCAGGGTTCCTGGAGATGAGCATCCCCTGGAGTAGGGCAGAGAGGGTGCAGATGCATGATGGCAACCTGTCAGCCAGTAGTGGGCTTGGGACCTGCTTTAGAGTTGCACGGTGCTTGCTGTGAGAGTTTTGTAGTCTGTGTATGACTGTGGAAGTGGGGCCTGGGGGAGGTCTGTTGGATGCTCTTGGATCACACCACTTTTTATGCATGAGTGATCTTAGTCATCAAAGACTTACTGGTTAGCTCTGGGAGTTAGGAATTGATGTGCAGGTGCCTCACCTTTGATGAAGAAGCAGCTGATGTAAAAGGGAAGATGTCGAGAGGGTTTCTCCGGTACTGAAGGAAGCAGAGCCAACTTTAGAAGCAGATGTCCTAGTTGCTTGATCAGAGGAAAGGGATCACTAGTAAAAATCTATACTTTATCTATGGTGAAGATGAATTCTGTCATCAATTGCTGAGTTTTAGCACATGCTGTGAGTGTCTGGGACATTCCTGATGGGATAATATTAGTGCTTTTGCAGTGAACTCATTTTCTTTACGAGCTAATTACAACTGGGAAAGTTTGAATGCACATGGAAAGGCTCTGGGTTTTCCAGGTAAGTTCTGTAAGTCTGATAGAAGATTTGTGCATCCTTGATATCATGCTAGGGCAGAAATACTTTAGAGCAACTCTGAAGGAAGAAAGGTAGCATCACTTGGAGCTGCTTTAACACATCTCTCTGTTTCTGCTTTTTGAGACAAAGAGAAAATCAAGGTTTCCTCAGTTTACTAACAGTGTATCTATAATTCTGCATATAATGGTATGACTACAGGGCTAGCTGTTTTTTTTCCTAAAACACTACTTGCAAACCTGTGGCTGTCACTGCTTCTGACTAAGTGTGCACACACGAATGAAGTACAGAGACCTTTGCATAGATGAAAGAGCATGTGTTTCAGGAGGCTGGAAACAAGATATTACTGTATTCACTTCAAATTATTTAAAAAAAATCCCAAGCTACCTTTAGCACTATATTTGTAAGAAGAAAAATAGCTCTCAGATCAACTCTTTGTGCCTCGTCATGCATATATATTGGAGCTGGAAGGAATATCTTGTACAGTGAGCATGCCTGGTTCAGGCTATAGCCAGAATAGTCTGTCTTATGTGGAGCACTTTAAAATTCATCACAGGTTTGTGGGGAAAAGACCCTAGGGAAGTAGCCTTATCACAATGTCTTAAATCTGTCAATCTTGAGATCCCCTCCACCACCATGTTGCTATTTGTTTGCTGAGACATTGATTTCTGGGTGTAGAACATCTTAAATGAAAACCACAAGATGTATTTTACCTGTTTTTCTAAGACTAAATGAAAAAAAAAATCACAGTAATGTTTTCTAAAGCAGATCCCAGAAGATGTTACCTCTAATGCATTCAGCAAGGAAAATAAATACCCAGCAATGGCAGATGCTAAGGGAAAAAATAATCGACAAATTCTAATTCTCTTTTCATGCAGATATTTAAGTATGTGCTATCTGTTAGTGTTTTTAAAATATGCAAACCAAATAGCTTGCGAGTGTTTGTCTGTTTTATAGCTGAGGATATGGGGGTTTTTAAGACGAAATGTGAAGACACTAATTTTATGATGGGAGAGCTTAGCCTGTGGTTCTTCTTTTCACAGTATGCAGACCTGGGTTCTTCAAAGCTTCACCCCACAGTCCATCCTGCAGCAAATGTCCCCCCCACAGCTACACGCTTGATGAAGCATCCACATCTTGCCTGTGTGAAGAACACTATTTTAGGAAGGAATCAGACCCACCTACAATGGCCTGTACAAGTAAGCATGTGCTTATAGGGTTGTTTTTAATCCTTTCCAGCTGTTCCTGTACTGTGATTAGACATTATGATACTAATTAATGTGCTTTTTCAGGCTCTGGACTGGAGTTTGAACTAGTCTTGACACACTTGTAATGTCAATGGCTTTGTCGATTGTAATCCCAGTTACACGAGAGGAGACTTTTCAAAGCTTTTTGCTTCAAAAGCTGGCATCAAACCCAGAAAGCATTTTTATAATGAACCATGCTCCATCTCTTGCCACTGGACCCTGGGCAGACTCAGCCAGCAGCACAGCATTCAGACATGAGTACCAGTGTGGAGCACTCATGCGGGAGGATTGATGGGCAGTGCTTGTCAGCAGTAGGCAGGGGTAGAATCTACATGGTCCTGCTTAGAATCATCTCAGCTCATTTTCAGTAAACAAGCAGGGAGAGAGATCTATCTTTTCAATCTGCCTGGAGATGCTCACTCTTCAGGGTAGTTTAAAACTCTGCAATGGAAACTGCTTCTCCAATCTGCAGTGAAAATGTAGAACTTATGCTCTTTACATAGGGGGAGGGCAGTCTAACAAGCACATTGGAGTACTGGGAGTCCAAGGTGGGATCAGTGTAATCAGAATCATTAATTTTGCCCTTCCCCTGTTATCTGTGAGCTATCCTGTCAGCTGTACCTTGAAAGTCTCTTGTTCAGTTTATGTTTCAGATAGTTAGGGCCATAATTTACATGCCCCCAGCCAGTCCTGTTGGTGAGTGCAGCACAGACCTGAGCTGGGTCTGTCATGCTCCGAATGTAATTTTCATGATGCAGAAGGGGTTAAAAGGGACCAAAGAGGACTGAACTACTGGTGCTACTACAGTAGCTAACTACTGCAGTTAGAGCTTCCAAGAAACTTAAACAATGGCAGAAAAAGTAGGTTTATGAGTCCATGCATGCTCAGAGCTGCCGAGCAATGGTGCAGAGGTGACTTCAGTGCTGTTTTTCTTGCATCGTGTCGGCATGGTAGAGGCTTTTTGTACCTTTCCCAGTGAATACAGGTGTCCTTCCTAGCTTCCCAAGTTTGCATTTCAAAAGGAGGAAGAAAGAGTCCGTTCCTGTAGGAAAGATACTCTTGCAAAGGAAATTGCCCTCGGCAGCTCTCTGCTTGCCTGAAGGAGGCACTTGGAGCAGAATTGGGCCCCTTGAACTCTGCCTTTGATTTTCACCAGGCAAAGGAGCATGAAGCACATGGGTATTGGAAGGTGTGCTGCAGGGAAGGAGAAGACAGCCTTAGGCAGCATTGCAGTCACTGGTGCTGTCAGATCGAAGTGGTCTGGGGGATGAGTCATTAAAGCACTTCTCGATTTGTTAAATAGGTATGCCGGTGTCTTTTGCAGCCCTAGCTAGGGTGGGTTACAGCATGAAAAACTTTGATACCAGGGCTTCTTGATGTTCATTTTGCCCCTTGGCCTGACTTAAAAATCATAAATAATTGAGAGATAATGTGGTCCAGCATGGTATTGGGAAACACACTGAGCTCTGGAAACACTCAAAAAATTGGCTTTTCTGTGCAGACAGAACCAAAGCCAGGAACTGATGGAGAGTTATACCAGACTCTGGTATCCACTGTGCCTCCTGCCCACCATTAGTGGTGTTGCTCTCTGCCCCTTCTCAGGATGTAAGGGTATGCATCCAGTCTGTCCTGATGGTGAATTAGCACAGGGAAGGAGCTGCCATCCCTAAAGAAGATGTTTATGCATGCCTATGGCCTGAGCATAGGGCAGGATGTTCAGAGAGGTACAAGCAAGGGTCAAGCACGTCTCCCTCCTAGGTTTCTGATGCAGTTTGAACCCTGTATGTAAAGTCTGTAATTTCCGATTCTGCAAATACTATGGGATTTTGGTTTTATGGCTTTTTTTGTGGGTTTTATGCTTATTTACTGGTGGTGGTTGGCTAAGTTTGTTGGGTTTTAACATTTGGGTGTTTTGTTTCAGGGTGGGTTTTATTTTTGTTTTGAAAGCTTACTATAAGCTAGTTTAAAGTGCAGGCATGGTGCCTGAAGCTGTGTTAGGATATGGTTTGGCAGGGTACTGAGTGCTTCTGGGGCAGATGAGAGGTTTAATGCTGATCAAGGCACTGCTCAGCTTCTGTTGCCCACTGCAAACCCCAGTGCAGCAGTTGAGGATGTTGCAGCATCTCTGCTGGCATTCATACTTACAACCCCAAAAGCAGGGTGGATTATCTGTGCCTTCTCCATGTCCTTCAGTCACCCTCACTTTCCCCATGCATCTTTTCTTAGGATTTTGTCCTAATCCTGCTGTATTTGTGCTGAAGGTGATGAGGAGGGCATGTGCTACACCAGCTCAGTGGCAGGGGTAGAAAATTTTGGTAGGGACAGTAACGTGTAGGTAGCAACACTAACATTTTAAACCAGTCCAGTTAGATCTGGAAGGCAACATCTCATAAACTAAAACACAGGCAAGACAGACTTGAGTCATGAGTGGTAGGAAAGTATTGCAAGGGGTTTTTTAATGTTTTTATTATTTATTGCCACTGTCAACTGCTCAGTTAAGTACGGGACAAGGGAGAAATACATTTTTGTTTCATTTTTTCCAGTGTGGTTTGTAAGTAATGATTGGTAATTTTGAAATTAATAGTAATGTGATGCATGAAATAATTACTGCCCCCAGAAAAAAAAATGGCTCTGAAGGATATTTTAAAATTCTCTTAATATTATTTTGTATCTTCCAGGAAGTAATTGTGCTTTATTTCTTCTTAAATTAAGTAATCCTAGTTTCAGTTCCTTGCACAACATCTCTTTAAAACCAAAACGTAGTTACACCCTTTCTTTTCCCATCACACCTCTGACAAGTAGCCCTATTGCTGTTCAGAGCACGTTGGGGAAATATTTGTAGTATTATGACACATGGGACAAAGATTTTATAGTATTTGGTGTCAAATTGTGCTTGCAAAAAGTTTAGAGTTAACTTTGCATGTGTATATATATATATATTTATATCTTGAGGGTAATTTCTCTTGTAGGTTATTTTTTTTTTAAATATTTGCCTCAGTAAATAACAGGTTTGCTGTCCATCAAGAAAAAATACCAATATCTTTGCTTTCAGAAATTTACCTCTTGTCACTAAATTCTGGTGCAGAAGGGGTGAATTTTACATGCTTAGGGTACAAAGTAGCAAACTCAAAAATTATTTATGTATTTTAAAAAATCAGGGGACTAATATCTTTGTCCTTGACAAAAGGAGTTTGGAAATTAAAGGAGACCACCTTAGCAGACCTAGGGCCACCTCTTCTTAAGGTAAAACACCTTTTTGTTCTCCCAGATGGGGTTTAACCAAGTCCTATCCAAGTACAGTTTCAGGATTCTTCAAGTAGGTCTTGTTAGGTATCTGTAGACTACTAAAGACCTTTCTCTGACGCCCTATGAGAATGCTAATTTTGTAGGTTATGAAGTCCCACTGGCTTTAAACCATTTCCACTGAAGCTGATGTTTGTTAAACCTTCAAGAAGAGCAGCTGACTTTTCTGTACAAAGCAAGTAAAAACCACTGGTGATTTTACAAAAGTAATAATTTATCCCCCGTTAAAGACACATTGTCCAGTAAATGTTTCTTGTGCCTGAGTTCTTTATTTTTTCCTAGAGTAATGGCATCAGCAAAAGGGCATTCATCCTGTGAAAGAAAAAAATAGGGCAATTTAACCAGTAAAACATATAAAAAAACCCTTGAGTGCAATATATATAACTCCACACAGCTCCAGTGATGAATGTCATAGTTTCCATTGTATCAGTATGAGTATAACACTGCAGAAGGTAGTACTCACTTGGGCTGTACCTTGATGTCATTAGCTAAATAGCACTGGATCCCCAAGGCACAGCTTGTGAGTGGCTTGTTCCTTGTTCATAGTGATCTGAAGAGATCACATAAAACAAAGATGGTCTACCATTTCCTAAGCTACCTTAGCTTTTCTCTTCAACTGCTTTTCCTCCAAAGAATAAAAAAATACATCAGAATTATTTATTTCCTCTGTCAGCAAATTTCTCATTGAATCAGAACAGCTTGAGTGCAAATCATGACGGTGTTTCAATTTATCAGTGTTACCAATTGTATAGACTTAGAAAGGGGAATAGGAAAGGGAAATAGAAGAAAATGCTTTTGGTTTATAAGGTAATTTCATTTTTTCAACGCTGCCTGTTTTAAATAACAAATCAAGTTTAATTATCACAACAAAACGATGACAGCCTAAGACAGCTTGTTAGGTTCGTATGGATCTCTAGCTAATGAAGCTACTTGTCGGACTCTTTTCAAGGAACTGCTCATGGGTTTTGACAGCTTCATTCAAACTGAATGAAGTGTGTTGTGTTGCCTTCCCTCAGAAAAATAACAATCTTTGCTGCATAGCTTCTGGTGGTGCTGTGACTAAAATCCATCCCAGCTTGCTTTGATAAATTTCTCCTTTCTTCCTCATTCGTTAGCATTCCCTGAGTACTTAATACGTGGATTTCTTGCATGAGACTCCTGCTTGTCCTTTCACGTTGTCTTCAGGGTTTATCTGCAGCTTGCCCTTCATCTGCAACACGAGACTGTTAAAAACAAAAAGCTTGCAAGGAAGCAGTCTTGAAGGTGTCTCCAGGTGGGCTTTGCTTGTCCAGCCACAGCCTTTCCCACCAGGATGAAGAAAAACAGCTGACTTTTTGCAAGTGCTGTGGTACCTCTGTAGCACCTGTTCCTCCTTGGATAGCCTTGCCAGAGCCATGCTGGCATCCTGAGTGGAGAGGCTTGGCAAAATAAGCAAGTGCAGTGTGGCTAACCAACCGTGCTGCAGCTTGGCAGGGGCCAAGAAGGCTGCTGTTGAATAGCCGGATATGGCCGTGTTTCCAGTGATCTGTGTAGATCACCATCTGCTTTGGGCTACACTGAGTGTCTCGCTGAAGTGTGATTTGGATGCCCAAGCTTAGGTTTCACTGTTGCCAAATAGCTGATGAGAAGAGACGGATACACACAGAGGAAAGATTCGGCATCTGGGTTGAGTACCTAAGTAGTGCGGAAACCCTAGTGAATATCTTATTTTAGGGCCTAGGGCTAGTAATATAGGGGCAGTGGGGTGAAGAGGGGGACTCTTGCCTCTAGTGAAGCTAACAAAGCTTGGACAGAGCAAGGACTTGCTGCTCCCTTTGCAGGAAGAGCAAGGAGAGCACCAGAGGCAATGCCTCAGGGTAGAGCACTCCTCCTGTTGGGTTTGAGCCACCCAGTGTCTTGTCCTCCGACACAGATGACTGTGTCCCAACACAGACCGCTTGAGGTGAGATGGGAGTGCTCAAAACAAATTCCCTATTTTCCCAGTTCTTCAGGTGCTGCTGCAAGTGATCCCTTTGTGCTTTCTGACACATGAGCAATGGAGCATCTCTTTTTAGCTTAGAGAGTAGTAGCAAGCAGGATGACTGATAATACTGTTTTTACCATGTGTTTTTCTCACTTTACAAACCAGGACCCCCCTCTGCTCCTCGGAGTGCCATCTCAAATGTTAACGAGACTAGTGTCTTTCTGGAATGGATTCCCCCTGCTGATACTGGTGGAAGGAAAGATGTGTCTTATTATATTGCATGCAAGAAGTGCAGCTCACACTCGGGTCTGTGTGAGGCGTGTGGCGGTCATGTCAGGTACCTTCCCCAGCAAACCGGCCTGAAAAACACCTCTGTCATGATGGTGGATCTACTTGCTCATACAAACTATACCTTTGAAATTGAGGCAGTGAATGGAGTGTCCGACCAGAACCCCGGAGCCCGGCAGTTTGTGTCTGTAAATGTAACCACAAACCAGGCAGGTAAGTGGATCTTCAACCTGGGGAAATGTCTGGGGTGGGAGCCCAAGCCAGTCAGACCCAGTGTGGACCTCCCTTTGGAATGGGTAGAAGTCTCCAGCATGGAGAGCTGGACTATGGCCTCTTCAAATATGGGGTGTGGGAGTTGGGGGGTGCTTATGTCTCATAGGTTATAATTACTGCAGTCTTCAGTATGTTTCCTTTCAGCAGGACACAGTTTTAGGATTTGCGACCTTTTTCTTTTACACTAAACTACTTGAAGACACCTCCACTTCTTTGCATTTTCGTATATCCATCCACTAAACCAGAAAGAAAAGAGCTGCCTTTCCTGTTGAGAAAGAGAAATTCATAAGAGTTCATTTTGATTACAAATCCCAATGGCTAAAGCATTTTAACTTTGCAAACGGTTTCCCTAAGAAAATTGTTTGAGTCACTTTAGGAAATTTGATCCCTTTTCTACAGTGTGATACTAAAGTGACTGGACTCAGGCTGGTGAGGTACATTGTCACTGCTTCTCCAACAAGGTAGGGCTAAGATGTCACTGCATACTGTGTTCTTGGTTTTGCACTGTACAGGTGGAGATCATGTAGACTGGTTTATTCCTTTGTCCAGGGCTCAGATCTGTCTGCCCTTCCTTTGCCCAGCAGTTGAAAAGAGCTGTCACTTTGGACACCAGGAGGGAGTTGCCATTGTACCTTTTCACTTGGAAGTGTGATGAGAGGCAAAAACATGATTATATCTCCTTTCAGGCACATCAACACACCAGGCACATCACACAACTTCTGTAAAGCCCCGCAGACCGACCTATCCTTCTCTTGTCCCCCATGCTTTGTGTTTTAGGGTCTCTGCCTACCTGGCTTGCTTCCTGCCATTTAGTTTAGGGCTCCCCAGTGGCATTTATCCACTGTGGACTCCTTCCAGGAATGTGAACTGGTAGCCTTTGGGAGTGTGAGGAGCTGTGCTGCCAAATCACTGGAGCCACCCCCTGCCTTCTCCAGACAAGGTAAACCTTGGAAACCCGGTGAGCAATTCAGCATAACAGCTAGATGTAGGTTGGCAGATCCTCACTGCAGAGCAGAAAAACGCTAGCTGGAGGAGGGCTGCATTTCATTCCTGCTACCCAGGTGTCTATGCACAGGCTTGGTAGCCAGCAGCAAGAAAGTGCAATTGCATTGCACTTCATCAGATACCTGCCCTGGCAATTAAAGTGGATTGTTGAAGTGTTTCAGAAATCATTCAGATATATCTCAAGGACAGGAAATAAAGGCATGCCAGGGATGCTGCTGATAGATGTGGCATGGAATCTGCTGAAGGAATATTAGAGGATGGCAGTATGACACCGTTGAAGACACCTGTTTAATGGAGATCAGTGGGTGCCACAGTCCTAATGCTCTTTACTATTTTCCCATTGTGAAGGCTGCTGCTAGAAATGCTGTTGTTGGAAAAAATGTATTTTCCTGTTAGTGGGTTTGCATTGGCATTTCATTGCTGGCATTGGATTTTCCCTGTGTGGCATTAAATCCACATAAACTTCAGCAAATGTAGCTGTACAAGGAGATGATACATTGCTGATCAGTGTAGACTGTGAGGAAATGGTCCTGGTTTGTGAGTTATGTCCCAAACTCTCCATAGCTGCAGCAGGATTTATCCACATAGCTGCGTATCCTGTGCATCAGGCCAAGAATAACCCCCTTGCACAGTTATCACCTCCAGCCTTGTATTAGAAGGTCTGTTATAGGAAATGGCAAACCTGTGACAAATGCAGCTCATGCCAAGGACAGGTGGGTAAGTGTAGCTTCTGGTTAAGTTTCACTGTTTACCCCAGTGGAGCTGCAATCAAGGGAGATACTAATGGATCAAGCCATAAGTGTTTAATTCACTGTGTGGTGTTGAAATTGTATCTGTATGCTCTCATGTTTGATTCAACAGGAGGTTTGATCAAACCACTGTCTAAAGAAAGCAGTGGTGACTGTATTTTGTTGTCTCTCTGTCTGGTCCCACCACTCATTAAGGAGGAGAGCCTGGCCTGTCTGCTGGAGCTGTAGCATCAAATGTGCTTCCCAGTGATGTGCTCTTTCAACGCTCTCTGGAGTGACCATCAGTTTGTCCATGCCAGAAACAAAGCAGATGTAAAGACGGACTTCGGCAAATCAGACAAACTGCCAAGCATGGAAAGTGGGAATCTGTCTTTTTAAGGTTCCTCCAAAAAATGTCCTTTGAGGCAAGTAATGAGGTGTACAGGTATAGTGGTCCATGCCTGGCCATGCCCAGCAATTCTGGATGTCTCTGCAAAAGACTCATCTTCAGCAGTCCTTTCTCAAGTTAGAGCGGACAGGGCACATGGGGCTTCAGGGAGTCTCAGCCCACCTAGCTTTCTCCTGAAATTACCACCAAGAGGTGCAACTCTGGTGTCTCATCTTTTCCCTCGCACAGGTTTTCTGACGGTGTGATTATATTTTCATGGAAGCTGGTTAATGAAGTTGAATCAGTGACACAAAGCCAACTGCAGCAGTAGGAAAAATCCTGCTACAAGATCTGCTGGCTGCAGAAAATTGAAAAAATGCATGCCATGGGATAGTTTTGGCTGCTGGAGTCCTGCTGGCACATATGCAGTAACCCAGCACTGCAGAGAAATGCCAGAGTCTGTTTTGTTGGTTTGGCTTTTTTCCGTCCCAAAAAGACCATGCTCATTTCAGGACTGCAAAAAATTTGCAGGCAGCAGGATGCTGGGAACACCACCTTTTCTGGGCATAGGAACTTTTGGCAGCAGAAACTGCCTCTGGTTTGGACTCTCAAAGGGATTACTTCCTGAAAAAAAAAATGGTTTTCTCCAAAATAATTTGTCCTCCTTCATCTCTCCACTATTTTAAATAATGAGTAAAAGATTTGGCACTGGCAATCAGACTGGCATTTTCAGACTGATGTAATTTTCCTCTGAACTTTTGAAATCAGATTTGGAAATACAGCAAGGAAACAGTAGAATTTTATGCACAAGAAGAGGCTGATAGCTACTATCAGTCAGTGACCTCAGTACTTGTGGACCTGACAGTACTTGGGATGGGACTGATCCATGCAGGACACAGTGGCCGTAGGCTCCAGACACAGGACTAGTTTCCCTGTCACCCTCTTGCAATCTCCAAACCTCTGTTGTTTCTGTGGGATTTTGCAGGTGTTTTTCTAATAGAAAACACATGTCTAGAAAGGGCGAGCAATGCCACAAGCCAGGAGAGACAGAAATTTCTCTGTCCTGCTCCCCTAGAGCTGCAGCAGGCAGAGGACCTTATTCCCTTTGTAGGCATGAGTTGACCCAAGCAGGGTTCTTCCCTATGGGATTGCTGCAAAGTACGTGTCCAAGGGACTTCTCAGCACAGATGGCAAGGAGCCATCTGTAATGCAGTCTCACAGCATGTTAGAAAGTGTGCCTCATGCACGTGGGCTGGAGCACAGTGAATAATTCATAAGTGGCAATGATAGCATTGAGTTAGCCATCCTTTTCTTGTTCATGGTTTTGTTTAAGTTTTCGTATTTTTGAAACTTCCACCTATTTAAACGGTTTCCAGAGAGCAGTCTGTGTGTACGGCTAATATTGAAGTTTGCTTTTCAAGTGACAACTGCATGACTTTTTTTTTCTCAGTGATTTCACCAAACTGGATGATTAAGGTATGCTGTCGCTCTAGACAGAGATGTGCATCTCCCTTGAGGTCTTTTATCTGCCCTGTATACAGAAAGCACCTACCATGACGTCTTGGTCAGAGACGTGTGTCTTGTAATGGGTCCATGGGGAGCAAGCAGTTGGGATTCATGGTTGCCTGCATGCCCGTTTTATCATCGCAGGAACACACTGGAAAGATGCAATGTTTAAAACCTTTCTAGGTTTAAAACCTGCTAAGAGTATTCACTTTAAGCCAGCCTAAACAGCTGAGCAATTTTCTTTGCTTTTGATGTCAGCAACTTCCATGCTGGGTATGGCTCCAGGCATGGAACTAGCCTGGAGGTGGGGGGTATGAGAGTGGGGCAGTTTTCCTGCTGGCATCCCAAATGCCACAGACTCCTTTACCCTTAAAGACCTTCTCTGTGTGTGTTTTCAGATAAACCCCCTGCCTGTTTGCTGTTTGAAAAGTCAGAAGCCAGTGTTCAATCCCCTTCTGTGACCTATATGATATTTTTGAGCCTTCTGGACAAGGAGGAGAAAAAAGATACAGATGTGCTTGCTAGCAGAGGAGGAGTTAATGTGTCTAAAGCCTCAAGGAGTCTGCCTGCCTGAGGCCAAACCAGAGATACAAGTTGCATCCTGTGGTACAGCAAAGCTATTTAAGCAAAGGTGTTGGAGAACAGGACCTGACAACCCATACTGCTGCCTGGGAAGCATGGCTGGATTCTTGCTTGACCAAAAGTACTACTAGATACTTGGAGCAATTGGAAGGCTCTTGGAGCAGGGAAGAATGCTAAGCACCATGATCCTTACTCTGATTGTGCAGTCAGGGATGCTGCAGTGGAGGGGAGCAAGGGAGAAGGTTTTTTTGCTTAGCAGTCAGGATGTGTGCAGTCTTTGGAAAGCAGCCAAGGGCAATTTGGAAAGGGAAACCTGCAACATAGAGCTTGTTGCAATCTTATGTCAGCATCTGCATGCTCTTGAAACCAGTAGACTGCAGCCCTGCATAGTGTGGGAAGAAAATATCAGAAAATGAGTCAAGCGATGGCTGTGCTGAAAATCACATTTTGAGAGATTGCTTTTGGAAATGGATGGGTTCACGTCCTGTAACAGTCATGGTCTGATTCTTCCAACTTTAAAGTCTCACAGTCTTGTATGGTTTCGCTTGGGGAAGGGAACAGCTTGCTTATTTTCTTTAGGAATAACAAAAAATTTCCCAGAGGATGGTCCAGTAGATGTAGCATGTTGCACCATATTGCATCATCTCACACAAGAAGCAAGACTGGTTTTGCAGCATTACTGTTCAGCCAGGCTGACTTAGGGCCTGCAAAAGCTCAAGCAGGTGCTTACT